CATGACTGCTCTGCATCTATTGACTTGTCCCGAACTACAAGACATTAGAAACAAAGCCAGGACAGAAGGTGAAATTTACTGGGCTGCTAGACGTCGCATGGACAAAAGAGCTCAAGACGATCAAGGGCATAAGATAAAAAAAGAAACTCTATAAACTAGTCTTCATCGACAAATATGACTGAAAATTCATGGACGTACCTAATTCTTGACAAAGGATAAGTGGTACGATAAGGTCAAATAGGTAGGATTTTAAAATGTTAAGGGTATATGAATAATGGATAGAGAAATGTCTTTCCTGCTAATGCTAAGATGAACTATGATTTGTAAAGATCCACATTCTGTCTAGAGTTTTATTAAACATGGTAGATTTAGACTTGAAGCTCATTAATATTATAATATTCACTGTACCTACCTCATTGTACATTGGCTGACATTATAACAACAATTGAAACATTCAGCAAAACAGTTTTCTAAATTCTTATAGGAATTGGAGAAAATAATTCCATTAAAAAAAATATTTTCAGCTATGTAGAATATACTTTTAAAAAAAAAATCAATATTGAAAGTGTCATTTTTAATTATAGTCTTATTTAATTAAATTTTAATATTTTTTTAGAATTGTGAGATTTCAAGGAGCAGGAATGAACAATTATAAAATTAAACTAAAAAAAAAAATTGATAAGGAACATATTTAATTTCATTATTTGACAATGAAAAATAATTTTGTATTTACTACACTTTTGGCCATTTTAATTAGCTTAATTCAGTACATTAAAAAAAAAATCCTGATATCAAAGAACTTTAACATTTTTTAAAGTACCTTCAACTACATGACTTAATGGTTGACTATTTAATAATTAAATAAATACTTATTTAGTGTAATAAATTCACTTTTCTTCAATACATACTGTATACAAATCTGCTTAAGGAGTGGGCAACACTGTACTTCACCAATATATTATAGGAATGACAAGTTAAATATATAATTTGAAATCAATTATAAGAAATAAATCTTTTCCATTAGTTTGTGTCAATCATAAACAATGGATAATTAATCAAACGTTTCAACATTTTCATAGTTATTGCAATTGTATCATCCATTATTTTTAACTAACACAGGGTATGAAGTGTAAGTATTTTACTCTCAATATTGAAATTGTTTGTTTAAAATATATGTATATATATAGTTTCATTAAATCAATTCATAATTAAGTTCATGGAATTTCAAATATATGAAAAATCAAAATGTTGCTAACAGGTTTATTGCAATTAGGACTTCAAAAATATCAAAATCTTGTTATTAAAATCATATGTATAATATTGATAGCTAATGCTATATTTAATACTAATATGGTCCATACACTTTGGCCTAATTTATTGGAATTAAATGTATAACATTTTTTTCAGGAACATCAAATTTTAATGAAAAAACTTACTATACAAATAATTTTATATGTACAAGTAAAGCTGGTTTTCTCTTGCTGAGTATGATCGTTAAATTACAACCTGTTGACAATAGTATGATTTTGAAAATTGATTACTGCAAACAATTCCTTTTATCACTTAGATCAAGTGCATCACCCAAAAGCATAGGAGAGTGGAGTCTTACTCTCTAGAATAAGAAACTTTTGTTAAAGCTTAAAGAATATTAATAAAAAAACATATGTAAACATAACAGAACTTTGATTAAAATGACTTACATTTCATGTAATTAATTTTAAAAAATACAGTCACTAGTAGGAGATACACAAATAATCATAAAAATCCAGTCTTAATAATGAAACAGTCAATCCAAGAAATATTAGATTTTTTTTATTTAAATGTTTTAACAATGCAGTTTTTTATGTAGCTCTAATTAGAATTATCACACATAGAATAAAAGAACATTCTACATAAATTTAATATCAGTCCTTAGTTACTTGTTATATCGAGAAATTCAAATAAATAATTATTAATTATAAAGAAATTGAAATTTTGTTTTCAGCATCACAACTTTCAAATCAACATAATGCCAATATCAATGTGAAACTGTTAAGTATTTACAAAATGTTTTGACATATGATTATTTTGTTTTTGCAAAAATTTTACATAAAATTCATTGTAACAAAATCACAATAGAATGATCATTTGATTTTTTAAATTTTGCTGAAAAATTTGCATTTGACGGTTATATAGTTTCACATTGAAACAGATGATATCCAACATAAGTTTTAATATAATTCCATCTTTTGTAAAACTGAAGGTTTATAAATATACATCTAAACTAAGAAAATGCACCCATATCACTCGTCATATACGTTACACATTTCAGAATTAACTGTTATTCATGGTAAAAATAGTATTAAGGTAGTGAAATAAAATAAATTGAATTATTGCTAAAATCAATAATATTGTTAATAGTTTTTAAAGTTAAATATTTTCAAATAATTAAAATATTGGGATGTAAATATAACAAAACAAGCAGAAAAAAAAGGAATGTTAGATAAAATAGTTCACTTCACATTATATATTTAACATGCACAATATTATAAGACACAGAATTTAAGTAGAAGTGAAATAGAATGTTCATTTTGAGTATTTATCATGGACTTTAATTTTAACAAACTATATTTGTAAACAAAAAATTTTATATCGAGTACAATTGTGATGTATTTGGCTTCATTAATACATTAATTAAAAATTTCAAGATTTATCAATACCGCTGCTGAGAAAAGAAGATAACTTTAATACAAATTACATTTAATAAGTTAGGTTTTAATTTAAATATAAATGTTTTCAAATCAATAACAAGATAATATTGAATACTTATAATCTGATCCAAGGTCACACATATGAATCATTCAATAACATTAAAACAAATGAGCACTAGAAGGAAAACCACGAAATCTAAAAACTGTTCTGTAACAGACAAATAAATTAATTTTTTAACAGTAACTAAATATAAAACAACTAATAAGCATAAAATTAAAAATGAAAGTTCACATGTGGCATCTACTAACCAAAAAGAGATAAATCCTATTTTAATATTTTTTTTTTAAGTCAAGTTTTGAAAAGACAAAATTAATATTAACTAAAATTTTAATTTTCACAGCAAAACACAAACTGCTGACCTCAAAGGAAATTGTTCTATCAATAGGAATTATTTGCTTAATATGAGTAAAGTAATATATATCTTAATATTTATACAGAAAAACTTCCCGCTGCAGACACTTTCGAATTGCACACTTCTCTATAACAGACAATTTTAAAATCCCTGTTTGATTTCAATGATTTTATGGTATAAATGACTTCTGCATACTGGATTTTCTCTATAAAAGACAAGGAAAGGCTTGAGATGGAGATTTTGATTGAAATGTTTTTCGATAACAAACAACAAAGAGCCGGTGAGGCTCATATTATGAGAACATTGCTATGTATTGAACAGAGCAAATAATCTTTTAAAATTATGATGAGGTGCCAAAAACAAAGTTAAAATATGCTGACATCAAAGACAAGTAGATAGCAGGTACATAAGGACAGAGGGAGGCCTTGAGAAGACTTTTCTTAGAGTAACTGGTAACTAGTAACGGGTTAAACAACTGGTTTCCTTTAGGGTGTGGCCAGTTAAAATAATATTTACACCTCCCGAAGTTAAGAACCAATCAAAACTATTCTTGCTCCAACTTGGATATTTGTATGAAATCTTGCAAGAAGTAAGAAAAGAAGATCTTATGTCTTTTTCCGGCCTTGGGGACTGAAAAGGCAGCGTTGCTTATACAGACAGGGGAGATGGGAGTCTTAGCAGAGTTTGGACCTGGGTTTGACGAGATGAATTCGGGCCAGTAGATGCAGTGATAGAACAACCAACACAACCTAATCACATCAGGAGGCAGGGTGGTCGAACGGGTTAACGTGTGTGCACAGCACTGCCATTGCCTGGCAACCTGAAACATGAAATAATTGGATAAAAATAGTCATAAGTTCGCCTACCGGTGAAGAGGGAGTCTTTTAAATCCCCGCCCTCACTCCCTGCCCCATCCAGAGGTTTTAGAGATCTGTAAGACAACAAATATAACCTTTCATATATGAGCTTGAGTAAGAATGCTTCTTTATTCCTTGTATAGCAATGATTGAAAAACGAATGAAGTTATTTCCTCCAGATTATGTCGTACTTCCAGTAAACAAATTTCGATCAAGTATTAAATTTTGAGACTTTTTATTGAAAGTTTAATGGTTGAAAAAAGACTGAAGAAGCATAGTATTGATGTAATGATATAGTAAAAGTTTTTATTTCTCCTATTGCAGATAGCAGATGGAAAGCAAACTTTTCACAAAAGTACTACTAGAGTATTTTTTTTTCTTCAAAATTTAGAAGTTGGAATTATTCCTTTTTATTAGTGATGCCTCATATGAACAAACATAATATTTTATTCAGTTTTGCCATAGGCATAACATTGGAATACCTTATATATTCTATTAATTTTTATTTTACAAAAAGAAAAAAATTAACATACATTTTGATTGAAAAGGTTTTAGAGTTAATCTAAAAAAAAAAAAAGATAAAAGAGAATTCCTACTTAAAGATATAGGTGAGTATGAAATATATACATGGATTAAGAAATTACTAGATTCAGTTTCAAAAGCAACCCTTATCTTTATCTTTAAATTTTAATTGCCAGTTTTCCGCAATTGTAAATAACAACATAAACATCCAGTCTATTAATTTTATATTTTTTATGTAATATGTAGCTATAACATTCATAATGAGTAAAAGAAGATTTACTCATTTACTGATTTATCGAGCAAAAGGTTCTGATATACTCAAGTAACCAAGATTTTAAATAAAAATAAGAAGAAATTTAAAAATGTTTTGCCCATAAGGTTTTCGAGTGTCATAAGCCAGACACGGCACCATTTGTGAAAAAAAAAAAAAGTGTTCCACTTAAATTAAGAATAACAAAAACAATTATAATTTTTTATGAATTTAAAAAACGAAATATTTTATAAAAAAATATATAACAGAATAATTAAAAATAAGATATATTGAACATGAAGATCATGTTCAAAATAGTATAAAAATATGAGAGCAAAATATATGAGTTACAATTAACACTTTATAAACTTAAAATATAAAACATTTTCTATCACAATAGCGAAGGCAATAAATAATTTAAAATTAATAACATTATGAATAAAATAATTTCACAGCACTCTGTTTGACAATACTTTTCAATGGATCTAGGTAAATAAAAAGTAAGGATTGTAAAGACTTGTACCCTGCAACTTAATGAAAAATTCATCTGCTCAAACTCTAAATTTTTTTTTCCCTCTTTTATAATGGTTTATACCTTGAGCTCTCTTTGACAAAATCTCTAAAACAAAAAAAGTGAAAATTTTTCAATATTTAATTTTAAGCAATAAATAATAATATGATTCATTAAATCATACAACATTACTAAGTAAATTATAAAATTAAAATATGACTTAAGCAGTAATTAAATATTATGATTAAAATTAAAAATATTTTCTAATTCATAATTTGATATATTATTTATGAGTTTTATAGTTAATAAAACTAACTATAGATAATGAAAAAGTATCTCTTTCATAGGTAATTTTTTTTATTTTTTACTTTTACACACCTATAAATGAAATATATGGCAAGGGAAAGTATTGCGATCTTGAAAATTTTTGAGTTGAACCCTAATAGATTTTTATGGATTAGATAAAAATGAACCTAAATATTAAAAAAGTGGGGTGAAAATAAGTTTATTTAAAAAACCAGCATTTTTACTTTCACTTACCTATATATGTAATATATAGTAAGGGTTAGTACTGTGATCGTGAAATTTTTTAATCTGGGTTTTCAACGGAAATACAAGTTTTGAGGACTCCTTAGTTCAAATGACCAAGTCTTGCAAAATGGTCTCTCTCTATCTGTGTGTGTGTGTGTGTGCGAGCACGCGAGTGCCAACTTTGTCATCAAAGTTTATTTGGAATAATTAACCATTTCTCATAAAAACTTGGTATAAATAATGGTTAAATAAAAAGTAATAATTTGATAATTAACTAAATGAAAAATAAAAGACGGTAATAGAGAACAGTAGTACTAGAGGGAATTTGTCAATTATTTTAAATTCATAAAATATGGTTTTGGGAAAGAGACTATAATAAGTATTAGTAGAAAAAGGCCTTTTCAGTCCCGATAAATAATTACTTTATTTCAAATTTATCTAAATTTTCGCATCTTCGGTGATAATCTGATTTTACATATAATTTAAATTTTGATTCGCTACATAGCAATGCACCCACTTGCACACTTAGTCAAAGAAGCGAATCGCAGTAAAATCAAATTATCCCTGAAGAGGCGAAAATTTGGAAAAGTTGAAATAAAGTAATTATCTATCGAGACTGAAACGTCCTTTTTCTACTGAATTATTTAAAAAAAAAAAAGTTTAAATTAAAATACAATTTTTGCCAATATCTGAGATGGATATTTATAAAAACAAAAACATTCTTATAGGATTCCAAAATCCATTGCTCATGTGAGCCAAAAAAAAAAAAGAGATCTGTACTACTGTATTATATATAGTGTGGATTGCAATGACATAAAATACAACTAATAATAATTAACCGAAAAAATTATAATATTGCCATGATTTATTTTAAAGTAACTTTTGGAGCACATAAATAGGTTAATATAAGTTAATATTGACTTAATAAAACAAACATTTTTAAATAATTCTAAAACAGATAAATATATATAAGAACTTACTCTATTTTATTGCTGAGACTTTCATCTTTATAAATAAATTTATGACCAAAATGTCGGTTTTTATCAAATTTGATGAACTTTATTGGACTCTTACCCTGCCTTGAAGATTGCACTGTTTCATACAACTAAAATAGAAAAATGTAAATATTAATTCTCAGAGTTTCATATTCAATATTTGAAAAGATTATTATAATATTGAAAATTTACTTCCAAAAAATTTGCTATTAGAGACATAATTATTTTTAAAGTACTCAACTTTTAAGCATGAAAATATTACATTCACCTACTTGAGGACAATGAGTAATAATGCTAAAACATTTATATTTATATCATATTTTCAAGATAATTAAATGAACTAAGTTAAAGGGAAATTTAAAATATTTTTTTTTAATTCATTGAATTTTGAAACTGTTATTTTAGTTTTGTCTTATTGTTTTTTAAAATTAATAAATAAAATGTCTAGTCCACAAAAAGGAATAAAGGAACCTCTTTAATATTCTGTGGCTACAAAATGATTTCGAAAATTTTATTCCAACGCCCGCTGCCATATGCAGAACAAGAACATGGGCCTTACCAATGTAGTTTCAGGAAGGGTAAGTTACCACTGACCAGATATTCAACCTACAGACAATCCTCCATCCCTTTATCAATCTTAAAGCGGCCCATGATAGTTTTAATTGCAAAGAATTTTATAATAATAACAAATTATTCAAAATTCCTAATAAACTCAAATACACGATTGAATTAATTATGAAAGATATGAGATGTATGGTTCTGATAAACTGATACCATTCTGAAGAACTTTTTGCAGGAAAAGGACTCCGCTTGTGTGCAGTATACAGGACATTAACACAAAATGGAGAGTGTGATGTAGCACACAGTTGAAACTAACACTTTGTTTTTCCCCGATTCTCCAGATTTACTTACAAAATACTTACTAATACATACATATACTAGTAGGCCCGTACAAAAAATTCGAACAGCATATTGTTATCAAATGCCAAATTAATAAGAAAATAAAATAATGCAACATATCAAAAGATAAAGAAATCTATTGTTCCTTTATCGATAAATATAATCGACAAAGGAAACAAAAATTTATTTAAATCTTCATCTTTGTTTGGAACCAACATGTTTACAAATTTCAGTAAGCTGTATCTTTGATAAAAATAGTCCGATTTTGGTGATTTTTTTTTTTTCATTTTGTAGGGAATTTAGTAATCTTTTATAAAATCATGGGCATAACCAAGGGAAAAGTGTGTAATTTTTCAGTTATTCGCAAATAAAGTTGGTTTTCTTTCATAACTTGTTTGCCTGAATTTTCGAGGTGATTGGACTATTTTGTCCACCTGAAGGAGAAGAAAGCCTTCGAAATTGGTGGCTCAATTATGAGATTTGGTGAAGAATTAAGGATGATATGGCTTGCCGATCCAAAACACCATCGATAAATAATATAAACTCCCCCTGTCTCGATCATAGAGACCTCAAGTCGACGAAATGAGACATGCATCCAATGACAGTACTACAATTAACGTCAGGTTGTGTGGATGCGAACCCCATGCCTTGCGTTATCTCGAAAATAGTACATTTTTGGGCTTAAAAACGCAGGATCCGATAGTTCCGGAGGAACTATCCGGGTCTTGCTCTACGCATCAAAATCTTTAAGGTCCAATTTGTCCCGCATCGATCTACAGACCTACCATCATTCCAGTATTGAAGCCTAGCAAAATGTTTGTATCAACTTTATTTATTTTAGAAAGAAAAACAAAAGTAGAGAATACGATTTGCTAACCTCCCATGAAATTCTGAATCCAACGGTACCCCATTCATGGTATTTCAGCATGACATGAGCTTATATTTGGTACAAAACCGATTTCGAGCCTTATTGTAATAATATATGTGGGGATTAAAAAAATATATATATTAAAAGTTATAATATAATTTTTCAACTGTGACTATTTTATAAACCATATTGGAGTTTTAGAGAAAAAACATGTGTTAAAAAAAAGATGTTTCAAATTAATGCCACATGAGTTTGCCCTCGGGCTATCGGCTAATCACGGTTGAACTTAAACTACTAACATTTTTTTCAGAACACACCTTTTATAATTAAATTTTTTGATATGATTTTAGGAATAAAAAAGGATACATTAAAAATATGGTTAAATATTAACATCTTATAAAGTATAAATGATGGTCATAAAAGCTTATAGTTAGATGGAACAATATCATTACATCTTTGTGCAACCTCAGTAATTCGAAAATGGAAGTTGTTGGGGAAAACTTCTAACAATAAAAAATTAAAAAATTGACTTTAAAAAGTAAATATATGTAAAGGGCTTTTTTTTTTTTTTTTAAAGAATTATTTCTGTTTCTTTTGGAGATTATTCCTCATTGCTTCCTCTCTTATACATTAGCATGAGAAGGAATGTGCTTCAGAAACATTCTGAAAACTCGTCTACGAAGACGGGCTTCTTTCAAAATAAATTTTCTGAACGAAACTTTCAATCCACAATTACGTCTCTTTCCCTATCTCTCTCTTTTTGAAGATGATTTTGAATTACTGAGATTGCACTGTTTCAGACACAATTAGAAAATAAGGAGAAGTAATTGGTGATCACCTTAAGACCTAATTTAATTGGAATGACTATATCGTCTTCTGCATGCAGAATAAGTATTGGTGCTTTGACTTTTACCAAATGACGATCAGACTGAAATTTAAGACCATTCTCATACATAGGCTCCGTAAAAAAAAAATCGAACCAGGGTAAGTATCGAAACACCTGGAAAGAAAAAGAAAAAAGTTAAATAATGGGAGACATGGAAAATAATTCTGAGAGTTATAAACCAGAAGTACTTTTGCCAGAGGATAAGATCGCACTTCATCACACATGTTGTTGAATGGAGCTTCGAGAACAAGGCCTGAGATAGTTTGTCCTTCTGATTCTAAGACATCTAATAAATGTGATGATATCCTGAAATAGACATTTGAAATAAAGATAACTTTTTAGAAAAATATAAACATGATTTAATTCTGAAGATTTATAGGTTGGCCATGATCAATTGGCAGGTGCGATAAGGTAACTTTTTAAAAAAAAATCAACACGGTAAATAGCAAATGCCATTGGGCAAATGGCTACTGCCATAACCTTTAATAATAATAGTAACAACAATAAAAAATTGAACTCAACAAAAAACCTATTTCCAAAAAATCAAAAACGGAATAATTCATTGAATAAATCAAAAACTATATATAATCTGGAAAATTGAAGTGACATACACATGAAAGAAAATTCTAAATAAAAAACAAATCATCCAATGGTTCCTACAGAAACATATTCAATTAAAAAAAGAATTCTAGAAGCTTAAAAACATGGGATTTTCAGATTTTAGCCACTTTCAACGAAGATATGTGTCACCTATTATAATCAGATTGTTACTGTTGTGATTAAAAACATTTAAAAAAAAATTAACAAATATAAAATATCCTTTTATTCCAAAAAAAAGAACTTGAATTAAAAAAAAAACAAAAAAAAAACTGCACCACTACAACCCATGAAGGGTCTTGGATTCAGTATTTTGTTAGGGAAAGAAAGTACTGTTTCTTAGTCAACAGTTGTGCAAAGAGGTGATTTGACTGAGATCAACCGCCAGGTTTTCCCCCTTAATTAAGGGTACCCACTTTAAAGAGGCTGGGTATGGCCCAGATGGGTCTCCCAACCCTAGGGTCGCCCTACGGCCGATGAAACAGAATAAATAATTTTTCTGCAATGAGCCGGGATTTGAACATGGGATCTTAAACATTGGAAATTCAGTGCCTTGCCACTGAGCTACCCCACTCCTATTTAAAAAAAAAAAAAAAATTAACCGTACATCAATTCCAAACTATCCAGCATGCAACATTAGGGGTTGGACATCCCTGTTCTAATATAACAAATTAGTAAGAAATAATAGTAATATAATACCAGAACTCAATAATAATTTTTACCATTTTTTATTTATATAACATCACATTATAAATAAAACTATAAGACAAAAAAAAGTAATTCAATTATTTTTTATATATGTATCCACAATGAAAAATATTGAACATAACTTACCCAGTTCCAAGAGAATGACCCCAAAAATATATTTTAGCACCATTTGAATGACGTTTCACCCATTTATAAATGGCTTTAGAATCAGAAACAACACCATTTTCTGAAGGTTCGACAGGACTAGAATCACCATAGCCTGAAACAGTCGAAAAGGCTCAAATTAAAAACTACATAGCCAGAGCCTGGACTTTTATGGAATAATATATTTTGTTAGGATGTGGTTTTTAAACCCCTGATTTAATATCTTTACGAATCAGTGCACCCAGATGCAATTAGTCAAATTTTATATTGCATATTTGACGATGAAAGCACATAATTGCCTATTTGGACTATTTCAATTAAACAAAAAAAAAAAAAAAAAAAATGCAATATTATAAATGAAATGCATTCAATAGTTGTAGGTTCATTTTCAATCAACATACGACAAAATAATGCTATCTTCAGTAATTTACTGGTAAGAATATGAATTTTTTTTCATTAGCTAATTTTACATCTCTCCTTATATCTTTTAAACACGACAGACATTTTCAATTTTTTACTTTCTTTATAAACTGTAATATTTATTATTATTTTAATTGCAACATTTTCTCCAAAATTGAAATGTTGGATCAACTGCAACAAGTGCAAAGATGCAACAATTTTTAAAACTCATTGAAAGTTGTTTTCTGCAACTATTGTTGAAATTATTGAAAACAAATCAATTTAGAGAGGATAGAAAATTAGGTTTTTCAGAAAAATATTAGAAATTCAATTGTTAATTTTAATGTTGTAAAGTTGCTTACTTATCAATTTGCTATTTATAATGCAAAATAATCATGATTAATTATCTTTTATTACTGATTTGATGTTTCTATTATTTTAATGTTTAAAATGTACCTCCTATTTTTTTAATTAGTATTAATTTGCGCTTTAAAAATTCTTTAACATGCATATAATTTTTTATATATTATTTAATTATAGGAAATTAATTATCCTCACATACATAATCAACTATGTATGCACTATGTAAATAAAATATAAAAATCACTAAAAATGTTTTTATATAATAGATGTCTCTTTTTTTTTTTTTCTTTTTATAACATTATGCTTTATTTATTATAGTATAACAAAAAAAAATTAAATAATTTTTGTTATAATTTATTTTTTATGTCAGAAATTTTTTTCAAGCACCTATTTTGAGAGTTTTTATTACATAAAAATCCGAGCCTTGTATATAACAAACAAAGAAATATCCAAAATAATTTATGTTGAAAATGTATATCTTAATTCTCTTTAAGATATATGTAAGTAACTGAGGCTAGAAATAAATAAGGATAAGACAAAATATATGGTTAGCTGCAGAAACTTACAAGTACTTACTTCTGTAATCGAAGGCTACCACATGATAATTGTTCTTTTGAAGAATCTTATATAATTCTACTCGATGAGCAGATCCTCTATTTCCAGAATTACCATGCATATAAATAAATACTGGCGTACCATCACCCAAAGCATTTTCATAATCTCTTTCTTTGAATTCTGATAATTTTAATTTAGGAAGAAGCAACTCAGGTAAAATTTGCCTAAAACCATAATTAAAAAAAACATAAAATCAGTAAAAGAAAAGTTAATAAATATTAAACTGTAACTGTTTATAACATTGCAATAAAAAAAAAAAAATCTTTCATATGTGTACATGTACAATTACACAACAATCTATGAACAGTTTAAAAAATTTAGAAAAACTAATATCACTGTGCGAGAACTCTGGCATTAGACATCCACCATGTATTATTTTTAATACATTTGAAGAGTAAACAATATTAGGAAAACATTTTTATTCATATAAAGAATATATTATCAAGAAAGTCTATTTGAAACATCTAATTGGTGGGGTCCATACATTGTTAACTAAATAGGTAATTGGCTTATTCGACAGGAAAATATCTCTTCAGTGAAGTAATAAGACTTAGCTGTCCGTAAACTAATCCTAACCAACTGTTGTACTTGAGACCTATTGAGTTGGTGCAAAAGAGCTAGATTGAAAAAAAAAAAAAAAAAGAACTGTATAAAAGAGAGGACCATATGTTAATTAGTTAGAAAATTAGGGTCACTTTTGGAAAACATTTATTCCCCAATTTACTATTGTTAGGAGACACAGTTTGGGATGAAATCAATTTGCAATCTTGCAACATTCTGGAATAAAATAAAAAATTGTTCAAGCCTGGTTTTGAAAATAAACATATTTTAATACCACTTTTTAAAATATTTAGGTCTGTTTTAGAAACCATTAAAAAAGAATTGATTTGTGTTCATTTTGGAAATGAACAACTCATATGATTGGACCAAAGACAAAACCATAAGTGTGAAAAAAAAACAAATTTCACTAAAGTTCTAAAGTTTGCCATGTCTCACATGCACAGGTTGCAATGGGTCTTATTAATATTTTATATAGGGTTATCTTTGTTATGTGACTGATCAAATGACTCTTTAGGAGATTCATAATCAAGCATAATGTTTTATTGGCAGCGACAATACAGGATTTGATCTCATTCTCCACATCCGAGACCACATTTATTCGGCTCCCAAGGTATTTAAAACTAGAGACATTTTTAAAGGAGCTGTTGCCAACTATGTACCTGTTTTGGTGAGGACTCAAATTCTTATTCTTCATTACCTTTATATTTGTCTTCTCAATGTTTACTTGAAGACCAAATGTCTGAACATTTTTCTGTAACTTTTCAAATGAATCTTCAGCATATGCTAGTAACTAATAGCCTCCTATGTCCAGATTTGTATACATGATAATGCATTGTATAATAATATTAAATATTATATAATATAATAATATTAAAGAGAAGTGGAGTTAAAGAATTACCTTTTCTATGACCAATTCTATGACACAGAATGCGCAAGTTAGCCCCCATTTCACTTTGACACTACTGTGCTATACATTGTGTATTTAGTAAGTCTGATGAGCTTCAAAGGGATACCGATTTCTTTAATTGCCCGAAAAAGTTCTTCTCTCACAATGGTATCATATGCTACCTTAAAATCAATAAATAAGATTCCATATTGTATTATGGAATTATTTAATTTTTTCCCACATTTGCCTCAGACAGAAAATTTGGTCAATGGTAGATCTATTTGGTCAGAATCCACCCTGTTAATCTCCAAGCTTTCTCTCAACATAATATAGTAGGCGGTTATAGATGGCTATAGAGAATATCTTGTAAAAGGTATTTAGCAAGCTTATCCCCAATAGTTTTCACAGGCAGCAGAGAGAAATAAAATATGAAATTACACTAAAATAAATCATAAAAAATAATAAGTTTTTAATTGTGGGTAAATGGTTGACCGTCGTTGAAATAATAAGTTTTTATACTATTTTGTAATAAAACTCAACTTTTACATCCTACTTTATGCACTAAAAGTAGCAATATGTCTATTTCTATCAGTTCCAGAAGGGAACTAATCTACTTATGTATTTATTATAATTAAGAAAGGCTGAAAATCCCATACCCGCACTTAAGCAACGGATTCTTATAGACTCAACACCTTTCTCCAAAGAACTTTCCTTACAGACCTCTCATTCCAACCAAAAATATCTGTTTCTCAATTGTTTTTCCACTTATTTTATCCTGTTTTAAGTTTACCTGTATTATTCTGGGATGGCAATTTTTAATTGGAGAAAAGGAAATCAAAGCTCGTACTGTCGCTGCCAATAAAGCATCATACTCGATCATGTATCTTCTAAAGAGGGGATTGATCAGTTGAACAACAAAGATAACACAACACAAAATGTTAATAAGACCCATTGCCACATGCGTAATGTGAGACTTGGGTGTTAAATAATACAGCAGCACACAAAATGAACTTGTTCGAGCACAAATTATTAAGACGTGTGCTGAAACCAATCAAACAGAATGGAGAGTTGCGTCAACGAAAAAACCTTGAAATTTACAGAATCTATAGAGATCTAAGAATTTGTAAAATTACAATGATTGAGAGGGCTGGGCTACCTATAAAGAATGGACAATGACCGGACAACCAAAAAGCTCTATTCTAGCCTTCCAGAGGGAGCGCGTGGAAGACCACGAGGAAGATGGAGAGACAGTGTAACTACAGATGCCTTATGCTGCCAGTTGCTGGAGACCGAGAAGCCTGGACAAGAGCATTGGACCAGGCCAAGGACTATCTAATACGTCTGTCATGCCTTCGAAGAAGAAAAAGAAAGCAATTTTTAATTTTTTCTTTACTCAACTTAAACTATTTAGTTTTATTTAATGAAATATATTCCAATTTCCACATCAGCATCCTAGCTACATGGCAGAACCAACCAACCATATGCAATAATCACAAAATGTTTCAATAACCAAAAATTAATGAATACAACAGCAATATATTCAATGTTGGAAGGAAATAAATGCTGTGAAAACACACTTAACTATAGAGAACTGTAAGTAATCAACTAATCAATTATAAGGATGAAATAAAATTGTCAGGAATTTCAGTCAAGATATTTTTATTGGGTAAGCCGATGTTTCGACCCAAGCACGTGGATCATCCTCAGGGCTATCGATTGGAAGTCGAGCCAAGAACTCTTCAAGAATCCAACTTAATGAACTAGTTCTTGTCTCGACTTCCAAACGATGGCCCTGAGGATGACCCACATGCTTTGGTCGAATCGTTGGCTAACCCAATAAAAATATCCTCACTGAAATTCCTGACAATTTTATTTCATACAGTAATTATACTGAACTAATTAAAACAAATTAAACTTAAGGTTCCTTACCAAACTCCCAGTGTAACATTATCCTCCGTTGTAAGATAAAAATTTCTAGCACCATCAAGGCCTAAACTACTAGGTGATTTGAAGTTTACAGGAATATTTACTATAATAGAAAAAAATTATTATTTTTTAATACCAATAAAGCAATATATAGTAAAAGAAACATTTAACTTACCAAAGTTTAGGAAAAGAAGACTACGTTGGAATGAATATGAGTTTTTGTATACTAATGGAATAATAATAAATATAAAAATAAACACCAACAAAATGCATATTCCAGTACCAAAAAGTATCCTGAAAAATAAAATAAAATTAAAAACATATAAATGTTTTTGCGCACAAACAAATTAATAAATTTAATCTGATAAATGAAACAATATTAATGGTAATAGCAGCATTAAATAAACATCTTATAGCAGGCGCTAAAGCTTAATAAAGATAAATCGAAGTTACTAATCCTTTTCTAAATAGCATACATTTCTGATACAATTAATACCTTAATCAACAACTACTACTAATTGAAGTATAAATAATAAATAAAATATTTCCAGAATGCAAAAATGCACAAACAACAGAGAAAGTAATAATATGGAAGAGGACCCTCCAAGAGAAAATGCAATTATATTTCTATCATTATATACTCAACTAGCTCTACTCCATGGTCTCACCCATGTTAAATTTGGATTCCATACAAATGATGAGTTGATGACAATAATATCCGTTAGTATAAATGGCTTTGCACTAATGAAGTTTTTTTTTTTTTACGAACACGGTATATTTTGTAACTATTTAAAGAAAATTATAAAGATTACTTTAGTGTAAAATAGTATCGTATCCAGAATTTAATTTTTTTTGTTAACCTAATTAACAGTAATTAGCAGTAAAGCGTTTAGGGATAAAATTTTTTAATTTTTTTAGACAAATAGTTTCACATTTAGTAGTAAAAGTACTTGTTATAATTTAAGTAGAGAACAAGTGGTGTTTTAAGTATTTGTCACAGATCACTCATAGAAACAAATATGGATCAATGAAAAAAATATTATTTTTCTATTTGTCAGGATGGAAGAGAGAGGAGGGCTTTAGGGTTGAAGGCCCTCCTCCTCTTGAATCTTTTATTGGTGTAAACATTATTTTTACATACTTTCACTAACATATAAAATAAATAGGGAAAATATTGAAATCATGAAAATTTTTTAATTCAAGTTTTCAATGGAAATATATGTTTTTGAGGATTCCTGAGAACTAAAAAACCAAGTTTTACAAAATGGTCTGTGCTTGTGCGTGTGAATAGCCTTGTTCAAAAATGAGGAGTTATACGAAACTGAAATCATGTATTTAAAGTAGGTATATACCTAGGATATTACAGCAAATTTTTCACTAAAACAACAGCCAAAATAAAATGACACTTTATATCATTGATTTTACAAATTTTTATAATTTTCTCCAAAACGGCTTAAAAGATTAATACTCTTTATATAAATTATCGAAGGAAGCTAGTCGCACATATCATGGGTGATAAATATTCAGGACGCCGTCTTTTTAAATTTTTTTTTTTAACTTTTTATTTGAGCCAACTTTTCCACCCAAACATGTGGGTCATCTTCAGGGCTGAAAATTTTAATATACAATCAGAGATTTAATATTATACGACCGATAATGGTAAATATAAAAATAATAATAAATATCTCAAATAAATATGATTAATATTGTTATTCTTAAAATATTGTATAATATATTGTCCTACGTATCATTTCAATTCATTACAATTATCTTTATTATAAATATTATTTGACTAACCATTGTATACCTTTAATCAAACTGTGTTATATTTATATTGATTGGCACCTCTTTCTTATGTTCATTTCATTACAAGCCAATAGTCACAATTCTGTAACCATAAAAAAAAAACTCAAATTTTGTACACATCTGAAATATTTAGTCAGCAAATTATTTACATTCTACAAACAGAAATGTTACCTCCCTCCCCTCCTCTGACTATGTTTACCTACCTTTGCTATCTGAAAAAGGACAAGGAAATCCTCCCCCTGACCTTTTCACTTACCTACCAAATATGTCAGTACTTGAACACCCTCAGTGCTCAAACCACGGTTAGTAAGAGAAAATATTACAAATTTGTATAAATGGATTATATACATTATTTTTAGTTTGTATAACTATTTACATATTTCATTTTTAATATTTAATATGTGAATTGTAATATTAGTTAAGATTCATGTACCATCAATCACTATAGTTTATTATTTACCATTATCGGTCTTATAATATTATATCTCTGATTGCATTTTAAAATTTCCAGCCCTGAAGATGACCCACATATTTGGGTTGAAACGTTAGCACAAATAAAAAATTTAATTTTTTTTTGTTAAAAAAGACTCCGTCCTGAATATTTATCACCATCTTTATATAAATGTAAACTAAACTGGTCTTTAATATCAGGCTGATGTCATCTTCATTGTAATAACACAACGGGGATTCTCAAAATTTCTTCCTCTTGAGTACCTTTTACTTTGTTTATTTAAAATAATTAACTATTTATCATTGTAACTAGTAATAACAAATAGATAAATATAAAAAATGAATTTCCATTTACTTTATTTTCATTAAAATTGATATTTTTTCTACAACCAGACAAATGCTGTTTTATTCTTGTTATTCTTAGGGGAATAACAAGATTTTATTTATACCATGATATAAATAAACTGTTCTTCTTATTTTTCAAGTAGGCAGAGCCAGTATCTGAAGGCTGATGTCTAAAAGTTATAAGTTGTAAGTTTTTTTTGTGTGTTATGGCATAGTGATAATATTTATGTAAATTTAGAATAAACTGGTAGGGGGCTAGTGATATTTTTTAATACATAATGTGAGGGTTATAATTTTACAGTTGTATTTCACTGGTATGGTGATAATTCTGCTACAATTCAAGTATAATAAAATAATATATTTCAAATAATAATACGTTTTAAATAATGTGAAATCTTGATATAGTTGAGAAGGAGCTGAAATCCCTACTGTGGGACCAGAACCTGTGATGGGAATATCAAAGAAACATCAGTGAAAAGAACTCCTTAATTGAATACAGAAAAGAGCAGATAAGGAGTGGAAGAAATTCACTGGGCTCAAACAAACCTGACAGTAAATTAAAAATTCTTCCTCTTATAGGACTAAGTGGCTACTAAGGAATAAAGGAAATCCGAATTATCATTGGAATACTACCAGTCCGCTGTAGACTTAAAAGATATTTAAATATCTGTGGGATAGTGGGCGATGAACTCTGCCATCTGTGAAGACAAGTACCAGAAACTGCCCTTCACTATATAACAGAAAATGAATGATTTGAGTCGCTCTGATACTGGCTTATGGGCTCAGACAGAATTCTGGAACAGGAAGCTTCCTCTATAAAATGGCCATGCCTTGCCAAGAATGAAAAGTTTTGAGACAGAAATGGAGGTGAGATAGACTATCATTATTACTATTATTGTCTTTAGGGTTGGCAAAAAAGACCAATAGGTCCACTTGTCGGACTGAGTCCCTCCACCTGTACCAGTACCAGTATATAGTTGAGGATTATGTTTGAACAGATGATATAGATAAAATATAATCGTGACATATTTATTATTATTAATAATTAATTTATTTAAAAAATCTGTTATATAGGGTGTTTCAGGATTGCCTAAAGTAAAAATATAGATAAAGGGTCTGAAAACAAGAAAAAAAATCTGGTTTGTACATCACACAACTTTCAATTAACGATAGTCTTTGAATATAAATTATATTCTGGCAATATTGGGGTATTTAGAATGAAGTTCTTGAAGTGCATTTTTAACAGAGCTAAAGAAACTTTGTAGCTAACCTCTAAAAACTCATTAAGATCATTAATGTAACAAAAACCCTATTTATTATATCGACAGTAGGCAATAAAAACCTTGTAATTTCATCTATTGTTGTAAACCACATAACAAAAATCTCTGAGCTATATATCTAGTCTAGAGAAATTTGAAAGTACATCTGTATATTTATATAAATCAATAAATAATTATGGCTTGTACCACTGTTAATTATTAAATTTTTATTTTCCATTGTAATGTTTACTAAAATGGAGTTATGAGATTTTCATTGCCTACCACTGATAGGTCAAAAGTCGTCACATTAATTGTAAGTGAATAATATTGTGATTTCACAGAGGGAAAACACATCAAATTATTCAGTAATTTCATTTTCTAAAATGTTACATAATGATTTTTTGAAATCAACCGATAATAGATATCTAATTATTTGAATATATAATCAGATCTAATGGGTAAACACGGTAATGGGAAATAATATGACAATAATGTAAAATTAAAATTTTGGAACTAAATAAAAAATACTTCACAACCGTAAGGTAAACAGTATAATGTAGGATTGGTTATACCTCTTAATACCTTGGTAACTTCTCTTCGAATAGATGAAGAAAAGATCTGAGGGGAACACACCATGATACTGCTCTCCATTTTCACAAGTGTGAATTTGAAACTAATTCTACATACAATTATAATGTTAGTATTCTGTCATTAGCATCAGGACCTGTGCATGGTTATCATTCTTGTAGTTGCCAAAAATGTAAGGTGCCTTTGAGTTATATATATTTTTTCACCAAACATGAAATGATGACTACTTAGTACAAATTATGGTTTATTACATTAATATTGCTTGTTTAAAAACAATATAACTAATAAGAAAGAAATGTTTCAGGCTTTCATTTTTGTAAATCATCATATAAATTATAAACTTTAATTTCTCACAACTTTACAAGACTTTAAAAATGCTTAATTTTGTTGCTAATGACCTCCTTATAAGTTTTAGGATATTTTAAGCTAAAAAGGTCTTGAAATCATATATTTGACCAATTCATGGTTTCTGTCTGAACGGGCGTGAAGAAATTCTTCTAGTTAGCTACCTGCTCGCTCTTTGGCTCTCTGTGGCACTACAAAAAAAAGTGCAAGTGCAGCAGCCAAGGAACTTAATACGATGAAAATCTGGTGTATTGTAACAAGATAGTGTTTTAATTCACATAGTTAAATTCTGGGAACAACAGCCTTCAAGATGAGTCTAAATTAAGAGAATGATGCCGAATAACTTGAGAGTCAGTCAGTACTCAAGGATTATTGTCTAAAATATGAGTTTTAAATGTCAGAGTAAACTTACGGCTTATGACTAACTTAGATTTGTTTTTTGGGATCACCAGGGATACATTTATAACCAAGTATTATATCTACCCAGCTTACAGATGTCGT